GTGTGTGTTACTCTATAATATTGTTTTCCTCCTTAAAACACCATAGCTGTGAGTTAACCAATCAAGGAAAGATAACCAAATACACAAAGTCGCTAATGTATCCCCCCCCCCCCACAACTCCAGTACTCATCGCTCTTCGACATATCAGGTTAATTATTGATCTTTTTTCCCTTGACTGAGAGAAGAGAAGGGAATTATTAGAGCGAGTCAGAATCACCGAGTCAATGTTTCAACACATGGCAACAACGCATGTTGTGCTTCTGTGTGACTGTGTAAGTTCAGTTGTCGGCATTTTGCACCATTATGGTGCATTAAATAGCTTTTGTTTCAAAGATATATATATATATATATATATATATATATTAAGCCTTTAGGCTTCAACGATTTTTTATAACTTGTTCTTTTGACAAATAGCTTTTCTTCGCCATGCAGGATTTAAGTTGAAGTGTGCATACTACGTATGGTATTTCAGCTTTTGTTTTTGTGAATGAGAACATAATAAATTAGTGTCAAGAGAAGGCATGCAGATATCAAGACGTCAGTCTTACCTCAATTTCTATACCATTTTCATATTTTTTTCATATTCGTGGAGCTGTGTAGGCATCTTTTGTGTGCGTGTTTAAAAAGAACGACTTTTCCTTTTAAAGATTGGCCATTTTCAAGTTCCATAGTGGGAACTCACAACGATGATCACTCATCTTATAATGTATTTACCATCTCCAGATTATCTCCTACTCACACTGCCATGTATCGAGACTACCGTGAGGCCAGGGGAGGGGCACCTAGCAATGACAGGTAACTTTGCTGCTGCCTGTTCATCAGTCTGTCTTTGTACTTTCGTATGAACACATCCAGACATGCAGTAAAGTTGTTACAAACGTGTCCATTTATTTGTCTATATTGGTATGTTTGTCGGAACACTCCCATACAGATGATTAAGTTGACTTTCACTCATCAAGACATGTGCCTGACTGTGTTTGTTTGTTTGTTTGTTTAGTTTAGATTGTTTTTCATTGTTTTGCTTTTCTAAACAAATTCAGTCATGTATCAATGACTGTGCAGCCACTGGAGAAGGGTGGTGTGTGTGTGTGTGTGTGTGTGTGTGTGTGTGTGTGTGTGTGTGTATGTGTGTGTGTGTGTGTGTG